GTAATCTTGAAGTTAATGAGATAAATAGTGATGATAATAAGTAATAGTTGATGTTCCTTTATTTGTTATAAACTTAAGTAATTATAGATAAAATCACCATTACATGTTGTTATTAATATTTATAAGTTGACAAGCAATTTATNGTTCTTTGTGCTACTCAATTTATTATTATAAGAAATATAACAAAATGTATCTTTGTACACCTATAATACGATTTTGTGTATAAAGTGTTTAAAGAAAAGTTTATTATATACATATTGTTTAATTCATGTTGTTCTATTATTGCTTTATCAACTGTTAAAGACAGATTTAATTTGTTATCGTACGTTATTACAGCTAATCCCAATCCAGTTGTATTTCTGAAAATATAAATCGTAATATATGATTTGTTTTAATATTTCATCACTGAAATAACTCTACATTTTATATTTTTACCAATAGTAATAGAATTAGTCCAGATCTAAGAATGATACACAATACCTGTTTGGTACCGAAAACAGTACGTTGTTCACAGGATGTTTTATAATATGAATTTTTCTTTGCATTCCCTTTATATTACTATACGCCATAGTGCAAAACCATTGAGTACAATATCTCAAAACTTCCGCTGGTAAAAGTCCAACCACATATTGAAGTAAAAAAAAATTTACCGGTCCTTCTAAACTATTTCTGATCCTGTTATTTATTGATACAGTTTTCTGAAGACGTTCAAAGAACCGACAGGTTTTATTTAATGTTAAAATATCTTTAACATCTCACTCGCGCACAATCACTAATAACTTGATTTGTCATACGCGACCTGTCATCGAATTGAGCACAGCTAGCACAAACGTTGACAGCTAGCATAAACGTGAACGAAGAAACACACCCGTCACCGTAACAACCAATCAGCATCGCGGAAAAGAGGCAACAATCAAGATCGAGAGAATCGATTCTGATTGTTTGCACACGCTTTTTCTTATTTAGAAACTCTATTATACTCAACGAACTTAATCTTTCTCTTCTCTTCCTTTCTTCTATTTCTCTCCTTCCTCTTCCTTTCTTTTCTCCTCTCGGTGTAAAAAATAATTCTCCTTCCTTATGTTCTCTCCTTCTCTCATCTTCTTCACTTTCATTCGTCTTATCTACACTTTCACGCTCTTTCTCTTCTTCCATTGCTCTCTTTATNCTGCTGCTCCCTACCTTACCTACTTATCCTATCTTATCCTACCGTTACTCTACCTAGTATTCTATCCTCTCGCTTGACGCCGCTCTCCTCGCCTCCTATCCTTTCTTCCCGCCTAATCCTACCTAACCTCTCCCTTTTCTCACTCTTGTTGTCTCACTTTTTCACCTTTTCCCTTGATTTTCTGTATTGTTCTTATTTTTACTCTTTTTCGCGGTCCTCACCTCTCTCTTATTCTCTTGTTTTTTTTCCGCTCGCTCCTATCTAAATACCTTCTAAACTATCTATCACTCTCCTTGCCTCTCTCACACATGCACACCACTCTCACGCCACTAACCAAGTCGATTTTTTATATAAAACCACCTACATTTTATTATATATTTTTATAGCTTATCTCGAGAGCTTACCAAAACATAAAACATTTTTTCATTAAGTACTTTTTGAGTTATAAAGGTTTGAAGTTAACAATTATTTGACACAAAATAAAAAATATTTTGTAAAATATTATTTAGTTTTCAGTAATCATAATCTTAATATTTTTGTGCGCGGAATAATAAGACCATCTAATTGGTTTAAAGAAAATACATTAATCAAAAAGTGTCGGATCCCTCTAATATCTTCAGTAAGAATGCATTTTGGAAAAATGTCCAATAGCAAAGTTGTACGGCTAAGCGGTTATGCTAGTAGGCTACGGCGGAAAATTGCCCGAAGGTGATCGCGAGAAGTTGCTCGAATGCGTGATGTCCGAAGTCGTTAGCGGGAATCTGCCCGAGAGCGTTGGCGGGGCCGATCTTTATTCTCTCACTCTCGCAGGCACCAATGTACAAGCTCTTGAGCAAACAATACGGATCACTGATTTTAATCTTTGATGCAGTGCTGTCTTCTTCTTAGCGAGCAGCAGTTACCTCGTGGACGAAAACAACAGCCCCAAAACTTTTTTCTGTAACAAAAGAAGTTATTGCGCTTTAATTGATTGTCTCAAACATCTTCATTTTGTTTCCAATAGCCCAGAAATTTTTCGTAACTATTAGTAATTGATCTATTAGATTTTCAGTTACTCAACGAGCTTTTTGTTAGTGCTGGTTGAAATAAACAAATCACTAGTTGGACCAACACTTAATAATTAGTATTTTTCTCTACCTAATTATTTTAATCAATTTCCTATCACTTACCTGATTAATTCTTCTTTGCTCTAATTAAGAATGGCGGAGAGTTCTGGAAAAGATCGAATAACACTGTTAATGATGCGAGAATGAGGAAATCAACAAAGAGGGTATAAAACAGTAACGCGATTATTTAATGAAAATTTTCGGAATGAAAATAATAGGATCTCTAAAAGTATTGCAATCCGTACTATTCAACGTTTCGAGGACATTGGTAGCGTGAAAAGCCGTTCAAGATTTGGTAATGATAAGGCATTAGATGTTTTACAGTTTTTCGTTGAAAATCCCCATATTTCCATCAATCGCGTTGCACAAGAACACGACATTGGTCATGCATCGGTCAGTATAATTTTGAAATTGAATAAATGACATCCATAGAAATTCCATTTGTGCCAAGAGTTGTCCGAAGACGATTTTGATAGACGCATCGAATTTTGTGATCTTATGATGGAGATGATTGTCGACGATTCTTTATTACTTAATAATATTGGTTTCTCTGATGAGGCAACATTTGAACTGACTGGAAATGTAAATAGACACAATTGTAGGTACTGGAGTGACGTTAATCCTCACTGGAAAAGAGACAATCATACCCAATATCCACAAAAAGTTAACGTATGGGCTGGTATTCTTAATGGTAGACCAGTTGGCCTTTTCTTCATTGAAGGCAATTTGACAGCACAGATATACACAGTTATGCTTTGCGAACAAATTGTTCCAGCTATTCGAGACATACGGCGGCGACGACAAAACATAAACCATCTTCCGGGATGAACGGTACCACTCCGGGAATAATGGCCGCCGTGTGTTTCCTCACTCTCGCGCCTTCTGTCGCATCTTCCCGGGACGGTGGGCTAACGAGAGATCCGGCTTCTCGCAACACCCACCTCCCCTACCTCCCCCAACTCTTCTATAAGCATCAAATGGTCGTAGAGGGGTGGAGGAGGGACTATGGTCATTGGGGATCGCCTCGACCTCGGGGGCGAGCACGGGGAGCAGAGGCCCCGGCATTTGCTTGTACACGCCTCTAAGGTTTCCCGAGAGGAAGGAGCTGTCTCTCCCTTTCTCTTTTGGCCGCCTCCTTCTGCTCCATCACCACGGAGCAGAAGAAGACCACTGCTTCTCACTCTTTCCTCTCTCTGGAGGCCAACGCCCGCAGCAGACCCTCCAAAAAGAGATTGTCACAATCTTGGCGGCAAGTTCTCGGCGTTCAGGAGCCCACCGAGGACACTTTTCCACGGTGTGCTCCACCGAGTCACTTGCCGCCTTACACTTGTGGCATTGTGCCGTTGGCTCGCGTTGTATACGACACAGGTACTCACCGAAGCAACCATGCCCGGTGAGCACCTGTGTCACCCAATAGATGAGGCGACCGACCCCGTTCTCTAACCACACCTTAAGGTGGGGTCGGATAACCCGGACGACTTCCTGGGCGGCCGCGTGCGGTTCGTCCAAGTGTTGCTCCCAGTTGAGGAGCAGTTGTCGCCGGGCGTGGCGCTCCGACTCGGCGAGGGCCTTCTGCAAAGCGTTGTCTGCAACGCTCTCCTGCTGCAACTCGACTCGGCGAGCATACCTCGCCGAGTACATGCCCGCAAGGAGGGCCAAAAGAGGCATTCCCGCCAGTACGCCCGCCGTCTCCGTGGCCACCGTGCGGAAGCCGCTGATCACGCGGAGGACTGCTACTCGTTGGGCAGCGCGGAGAAGATCAAACTAACTCCGCGCTCCCGCCCCCGCTGCGGCTTCCGCCCACAACGGTGCCCGTAGAGGGCCACCGAGTGGACCAGACTTGCAAAGAGACGACGGACTCCCGCTCTCGGGCCCCTAAGGTTCGGTTGAATACGCGCAAGCGCGTTGGCAATCTTCCGAACTCTGGGGGCCAAGCGAGCAAAATACTCGCCGAATCGCCACATCGAGTCGAGGTAAAGACCAAGGTACTTAACAGTAGTACCCACCTCGACCCGTGCCTTACCTACAGAGAGACTGAGTCTTATGGGCCGTCCACGGCAGGGGCCATGAAATCACATGGCCTCCGTCTTGTGGACGGCTACTTTGAGACCCAGTCCCTCGATGCGGCTAGCGACACAATTTGTGCCAATCTCTGCCAACAACCTGGTCCTGTCCCAGTTCTCTCTAGAGGCCACTACTAAAGTGTCATCTGCGTAGCAGATGACCGACAGACCTCTGAAGAGAGAAGCTTGGATCACCACATTGTATCCGTGGTCTCACAGCAGGAGGCCAAGAACCGATCCTTGCGGGACCCCGCGGAACATCTCCCTCCGATGTGGCGATCCGTACCGGCTAGTGTACTTTATTTCTCTGTCGCGGAAGTAATCTCCGAGGATCCTACTCAGATAGGGTGGGACTCTGTGACGACTAAGAGCCCACCCTATGCTATCCCAGGGAAGGGAGTTAAAGGCGTTAAAGATGTCTAACGATACCGCCAACGCCCTCCCTCCCTGCCTGATCGATGCGTCCGTGAGGGACTTGAGATGAGAGACAGTGTCTATCGTTGACCGTCACCCACGGAACCCGTACCGGCAATCGGCCAAGTCGGGACCCACCCGCGACAGATGCTCGACGAGACGACCGGCAATAATGCGCTCAAGAAGCTTGCCCGCCTCGTCGAGCAGACAGATAGGCCTGTATGCGGACGGCGAGTCCGCAGGCCTTCCTCCTTTGCGGAGCAGGACCAGGTTGGCTCTCTTCTATCTAGAGGGAACCAGTCACAACCTAACTTAACCTAACCTAACCGAACCTTTTTTTTTCTTAACGTGGTGGAAATCCATTACGAATACCCTAATTTCCGGGAGAGAGGATCAGGGTTATGTGGGACTCCCCTCTTCTTTCCGCAAGAAGAAGGGGTATACCTATTAAAACCACTACGGTGTGTCACTACTCGGCCCTTGGCGGGGAGGGACCTGGGAATTTCTGTCAGAGGATGCGCGCAGGTCCCTCCCTCTGGCTTAGGAATTATTGAGGGGAGGAAGGAGTTCCCTCCCCTATTTGATTCCTCGCGGTTATGGTGACACCGCGGGACACACACCGCGATGCCACCCTTTCCAGGACCGTGTGCAGGACAGGTCAAGATCTTCATCTTGACCTGTCACGGTCCCCACGGTGACGAAAAGGAAGGGAAGAGAGAAATCATTCATCGGGATGGACCGGACCATCCCGGAAGTTGAGATCACCGTGTGCGACCTATTCGCATCCGAGGAGGGTCCCGCTGGGACGGTGGGTTAACAATGGGAGCCGGCTCCTGCCAACGCCCACCGCCACAGTCTCCCTTTTCTCCCAACATGGACGGAAAGGAGGAATTACTGCTACCTTGCTTGTCCTCAACGAGGGATGGGAGCACGCTCCCGCTCCCTCTCAGCAGCCTCTTTCTGCTCCATCACAACGGAACAGAAAGAGACTACCGCTCTCCACTTTTCCTCTTCCCCGGAGGCAAGGGCCTTAAAAAGGACCTCCAGGGAGAGGTCGCCTCCGACGTTGGCAACCAGCTTTCGGCGGTCGTTTGCCCATCGTGGACATTCCTCCACGGTGTGCTCCACCGAGTAGCTGGCTGCCCCACACTCATGGCACTGTGCCGTTGGCTCTTTGCTTATGCGACACAGGTACTCACCGAAGCAACCATGCCCGGTGAGCACCTGTGTCACCCTGTAGGTGAGGTGTCCGACCCAGTTCTGTAACCACACCTCCAAATGGGGTCGGATTACCGCGACAACTTCTTGGACCGCCGCACGAGGCTCGTCCAAGTGCTGCTCCCAGTCCAGGAGCAGCTGTTGTCGGGCCTGGCGCTCCGAGTAGGCAATGGCCTCCCGCAGGTTGTTCTCTGCCAGACCCTCCTGTAGCAGTTCGACGCGACGAGTGTACCTCGTCGCGTACATTTTTGCCAAGAAGGCCAGAGGGGGTACCCCCGCCAGCACACCCGCCGTCTCCGTGGTCACGTCTCGGAAGCCGCAGATAACGCGCAGAGCAACCGTCCTCTGCGCGGCGCGAACCTGGGCAAACTTGCTTTGCGCTCCTGCCCCTGCTGGGACTCCCGCCCAGAGCGGTGCCCCATATAGGGCCACTGCGTGGACCACGTTGACATAGAGACGACGGGCCTTCTGCTTCGGTCCCCTAAGGTTCGGGAGTAGTTACCTAACCGAACCTAATCTTGTGACCTGATTCCAAGAGAGGAACTCCCATCAAACTCCGAGTTAGCGGGGTTGTGTGACCTGACACCCAGAGAACGTCAATCTGTCGTTTTCACAGGAGACGAAGAGTGAAAGAACAAAGACTACGAGATAAAGACAAGATGTGTAATCTTTTACTGATAATTTTAGTTGGTATTATACATATGGACAGTAATAACCCGTACGTATATATATATAGTCTTATCGTTATAACAAATACATATAGATAGAGTTTGACTTAAGAAGAAGGTGACCTGCGAGTCATCCGAGAGGAAAAATGATAAGAAGGAATGCGAGGATTTTATTTTCTGTTATACGTATTATTTTATTTGAGTTATGATTGAAACATGTCAGTTATATACTGTAAGGGAAACCTCGAGCATAAGGAAAAAAAACGTATGTCAAACGTCCACATATCACATACACAACACATATAGAAACTTACAGCCGTTAAGTTGAAAATTTTGGTCATACTACATACATCGTCGAACACATGAATAAGGGGTAAGACACACCACAAATACACACACTCGGAACACACACCACACACCCATAGTATCATTCGTTAATCACAACATTCAGCACACAATACATATATAGATAAACACCCACATAAGCAGGGAAACACACATGTAACACACGATTGTTACACACACAACACACACACGTAATTACAGCACTTAGTATACACATCCCCGTCCATATCGCATATACACTCAAATTCACACTTAAGCGATCGTTCACACACCAAACAATTAGGCACCATACACACATCACTTACACAAAATTTCAGCGCTTAAGTCACACATTTTGTTCATACCACATATACACTCAGACATACACTTAAGCGGTCGTTTACACATCAAACAATTAGGCATCACACACACGTCACTTACACAAAATTTCAGCGCTTAAGTCACACATTTCATTCATACGACACACACACACAAACACGCAAATAAGAATTAAAACATGCACCATTCATACTGTACTCACACACAAAGTGGGAGACTTTATGCTCAAGGTCCAGGCTGTAGCGACAAGGACCGCGCATGCGCAGGCGGTAGTACTTCGCAGCGGCGGAGTAGACACCCGGGGAACAAGAAGGCGCGCGGCGCCGAGAGAGTTAGTCGCATAACAATCGTTACACTGTGCGGACGTGTACATGTCGCATCCTGTAATAAAAACAGATTGTGAAGCACTCAGTTGTGATTCGTGAAATGTAATAAGACTGATTACATCAATAATACATTGTTTATTCACATACATAAGTATTAAAAGAATTATATCAAAAGATAAACCGTGTAAATCAAGTTACTTATCTGTGTGTATCCTGGTCATCTTGGAAGGTGTTGTCCCGACGAACTGTGACGCCGTCTCTGAAACAAAGGAAATAATTAATTACATCCTTGGTAATTGGAGGATAAATTACCTGGCGACCGTGTATAACCGGCGTACAGCGTGAGTACTCGGCCAAATACAAGCTAACCCCGGTCACAACCTAACCTAGTCTAGGCAGGCCCTAGTCTAGGCAGGCCTAGTATAGGTAGGCCTAGTCTAGGCAGACCATGGGAAAATAATAATGTTAACCTAATAATTTTGTTATTTAAATAGCTTTACAGAAAGTGGTATAGTACAGAAAATTATAATTCTAACCTAAAAACTACATTTACACAGATCCAAAAATTATCTAGCCAGCTAAGGCAAGAACGATGGTTTATCTAGTCAATAAATGCAAGATTGAGAGGAGATTCATAACTAAAAATATTTACACTTCTTCGAAAGAACGATTATGGCTCTTCCGTTTGTGATATGCATTGTAGTTGTTACGTTTGAGGCATCAACAGTAATCTGCCAACATGTTAACATTTTATTTGCCTTGATATCGTCTTTCTATTTCTTTTATATCCTGGTAGAATCTCTTTTCTTGTTCGTCACTAACATGCCACTAATTAAATTTTCAGGAAAATAGTCCAAATGACTATGTGGGAAATGAATCGTCAAACTCATAATTACAATTGAGATTTTTGAACCTTTTTAGCATTTTTTGCACAAGAATTTTGTAATTCTTGTTGTTTTTGTTTCCTAAGAAATCTTCCACAACATTTGTGAATGCATCCCAAGTAGTTCATTCAACAGATATCGATGTTGCCTGAAAATCAGAGTCTTTTATCAATTTTCTTCTGTCGGGACAAAAATATCCTCTTTTTTTGCGTTACTAAGCCTTGGAAATTTTTCGCATATATACTGAAAACATTCTCTTTTATTCATAACCTTCTTCTTTATTCAGTGCCTTAACGAAATGTTTGATGAACCTTAATTTAATGTGCAGTGAAGGTAAATGCACTTCAGACGGTAGTACAAAAGAAGAATTCATAACATTAATTGATTCCGGAAGTAAACGTTCTTTAGGTTAGGCTATACATTTTTTGTCCAGTGCTCTTGACGTGCCCTACTATCCCACTGACATAAGAAGCAAGAGTATTTGGTGTATCCAGACTGTCGGCAAAGGATTATATAATTTTCAGATCCTCACAAATACTTCACTTAAGCTCGTCATACTTGATAGTCCCAAGAACAACTTCGAGATTTTTTTATGTTTCTTTTAAATAAATAGATTGAAAAATCAGTATTGATGCATATTTGTTTCCATTATGCATAGTACTGCTCTCAAATTTCTTTTTAAGAAGTCAATAAAAAGTCTCCATTTATCTGCATTATAAGCATTATGTCCCAAGTTTTTTCATCAATCTTCTAATATCCTTGCAAAAAACGAATAAAAAAGGACTTTTCTTAGCAAAAAATGGAAGAAATTCTTTTTCTCTATTCCTGTACCAACAGAACGTTGCCTCTGGTGCAAGTAAACTCTTTTCTTTTAAACAAGAGCCTAGAATTTCAGCATTCTTTTTACTCAGTGACAAATCTCGAACCAAATCATTCAAATCACTTTGAATAAAGAGTTGGGGCTTTTCATCAACTTGTATATCAAATTCAGGTTCATCTTTTATATATTCAACATCATGAATGAATGAGGCTCATTCCACGTCATAGGAAATGCAAAAGTCATTATTTTTATTCCACGCTTCCAAAAAGAGAAAGTCGAAACATAAGTGTTGCAAAATAAATAAAGGACCCATTTTTTATATTAATTGTCAATTTCTCTGTCAAAATAATTACGGTAATTTATTTTCAATTATTCCGTTAATGACCGTCTTTGTTTTTCGAGAGTGTATTTACCACAAATGTAGCAGAATTTATCTGAATTATTAATACATTTCCGCGTCGACATCTTTGTTATTTAAAGACCAACTATGACCAGAAGATAAAAACATGTACAAAAATATCGTGTAAAAGTAAAAAGGAATCAGAAAGTTGGTACTGACAAAAGAAATAGAGATTTTTAACAATTCTCAAATATATGTAATACTGTCCGTTAATACAAAAATTAAATATTGTTTTATGAAACTTTATTGTATACAGATAGTATCTGTCTCCAGAGGCAAAGAGACACATAAGTCAACTGGTGATGTGCTATGTATTGCAACGTATTGTTGAGATCGGGAAGATAAAGGACTTGGTGATGAATAAGATTCTTTTATAAAAAACTGGCGTAGTTTATTACTACCAAGTTTACAAATTACTGTACAATTACGCACGCTTATATTGACACTTAGCCGTTGCTATACTGCGGTAAACTCTCCGGATGGACTCGGAGCCACACAGTATTCAACATCTACTCACGATCTGTCTGTCGTTGCTCGCGATCGATCTTTTAAAGGAATCGATCGCAATCACTCAGCAGTTTAGCGACCTAATTACTACTGCACGTAGGTCGCTGACGTTGCGTGCTGTGTCCGTACCATACTTAACATTACGCTTACCAAGCAGATTTCATTTACAAAGAAATGCTGCTTGTTACCCTTTTGAAACAAAACCGGGTCGATTGAGCAATGANGCGTACTTACCGCAATTGCTCAATGGCCCGAACAAAATTAAAACTAAATTTCACAACAGTATTTTTCGGTTTAATACGCTGCTTAGGAGAAAAAGGCTCGTTTCTCTGCCGTGACCGTGGTTACCGTGACGGCACTCGAATCCAGAAACAATTCCGGAATTCTGAGATTGTCGGGATTTTAAAGTTGTTATGTGGGCGCCAGATACGCGTCGCGCGTGTCAATTTCACGACGTCTCACTAAGGAAATCCGGGCCGACTAGCTCCGAACCGAATGGAGAGGGGCGGGGTGATATAGGAAGCAGATAGGTCACTTTTAATTAAAAGGCGCGACAACCGATTTATAATAGAAAAAAATAACAAAATATATTTTGAATAAAAGAAGATTAAATTACAATAATAAGGCGAATTCCGCAGATTGACAAATTTTCTTCAGAAATCGGAATGCGGAAATATACTAAATATTCGACAAGTATAGACGAAATTCAGAGAATTCTGTGTCGCGACTCGCACGTCTTACAGGTGTTGCTTTACTTTAAGGAATTTTTATACACAAACGAAGCCGCGCGAAGTAAACACCTTGCTCGCGTATAAGACTTGCCTGTATCGGTACGCCAGGTCAATGACTGGCCTTGACACCGTGTGCCGGCTAAGCTGATTTACAATAACAGATAGCTATATTGCCGCACGCCTCAAGCGTTATACCACAAGTTAATTCCGATAACAAGTCGAATCTCCGAACGCTATTATAATGTTT